CCAAATCAGGGAGTATACAAGGTGATATGGGATGGACAGCATTTGAGGGCAGGGAAGCTAGCAGCAAGATAACATTTGAGAAGCGATTGAGAGAAGTGAAGGAGGAGCGTTGGGCTAGGAAGGTTTTCAGCTACCTGTACATGAAGAATGTCGATACAAAATGGAGGAAGCGAACCAGGAAGTTGACGGGTAAATACTTAGAAAACAGCAGGTGGCCGAACCAAAAAGAACTATTGGTTAAGAAGAAAGTGAAGGAAACGGAGACTGACATGTGGAAAATGGGCATGATTACGAAGCCCGCACTAGAGATCTATCGAACTTTTAAGCAGGAAATTGCCAAGGAAAGGATCTATGATAATACTCGGGTAGTTCTCTACTGTTTGAGGCCAGGACGGGAGTACTGCGAACCAAGACATATCGGGCCAAATACGAAGGGGTAGACACAGTATGCAGTGCGTGTGGAGAGGAAGAAGAAACTGCCGAACACTTGATAATGTTCTGTAAAGGGCTTCGCCCTATAGATCAGGATGATGGCGCAGAGTTTTTCAAAGCACTGGGGTTTAGGGACCGAGAGGGCAAAATAGACTTTAAGCAAGTAGACTTAACTAGGAGGTTATCTGATTGGTGGCTAAAGTCAAGGCACGAGTGAAAATTAAACTCTTTACTGCAAAGTACGAATCCTCAAACTCACTTTTTAAGGAAAAAAAATAAATATAGTTTTGGGTTCATTAAGTATTACGGCTTGGTGGCGCTAGCCACCGCCCGATCTAAAGCGTACAGCCATATCCATCCATCCATCCATCCATACGCGTGGCTTCTACGGTTATGTTCCAATACTAACCGTAGACGGCTAAATAGACAGCTAAATGGACAGCGGCCATCTTAAGTCCCATTCGAATTCTCACGTAGCTGGCAAAGTAGACAGCTCCGAGAAGACCGCATTGTAGACAAATACGATGCAGGCCACTTTGCTGTCTAAACAAGATGGTGCCTCAGCGAATCATTCAGATGGAACCACAGATGAACCTTTCCTTCCTCCGTGGATAGATCAAATCTCGCCAGAATGGCCGTTTGCACACAAGCAGACGCTTTCCAAGACGCTCAATGTGAGTAACGTTTATTTGTTTTTGATTTCAACACAAAATAAGGCAGAAATCAGAACTGTTATGTTTGTTTCTTTTAGCTTTTTATTCTCGACGTGAGGTGGCGCATCGTCGCGTAAAAGCTTTCTAAACGTGTTCCATTTTTCGGACAGCATGATCTCGGTGCGGTCTTCTAAGCAGTCTGCGTAGACTGTCTACGTTCTGTCTAAGAATTGGAACACAGCCTACATAATAAACAAGTTGCTGCTTGGCTACCGGCTGCTGCGTTGCCTTTTGTGTTGGCTTTTGTGTTGTCTTTTCGACTTCTCTTTTAATTGAGTAGATGCCTAACTCTTATGAAGAACCCATACAAACCAGCTCAACTTGCAGCTATTCTAACAATATGTCCTTGCTGTTTAAATTCAACATATTACATCTCACTCATTCGTTTATATCAACTTTTACTTGCCATTTCCACATTGATGGCACTGAGAAGCTCCTGTATTTCCTTTTTTTTGCAAATTCTTCAATGATGGGAGGTCGCGACCTGTAAAATAGAATTTAAAAAATCCATAGGTTTGGTTTGAAAACTTTAAATCGGTTGAGCTTATCAAAAATAAATTTCAGAAACAGCCCGCACAAGAAGCCATAGCCATTCCAGAGTATTTGTCTTAGACTTACCTCCAGCCTGAGAGCAGGGTGCCGGAGCTGGGTCTTCGTAACTTGGAGCTGATGACACTTCGACTTCACAACTCTGTTGCGTTAATATGAAAGTGTCCTCTCTTCGTCCTGAAGTTGTAGATCTTGGTGTGCCACTCATGAAATCAATTATGGCACTGTCTTGCAAAGCCTCCGGCTCTCTTTCTTCGGAACTAACACTTGACGAAGAGTATTCATCCATGGGCCTTGGAGAATGTTAAATTCCCTTCTTAGGCCGCCCCTCATCTTCCGTTGTCAGTCCGTATAGCTGGTTCTCAGCCTTGGCTTCCTGCCTCCTCGTAGTCTCTTGACTGTCTGAGGAAGAATATGAATTATGTGTAGCTGCTCTACATCCCATATTTCCTTCATAACTCATGCACAAAACACAGAAAAAGCAAGAGATCAAGAATGCAGCGAAGTATGTATTCACATTATGTTGGCACACAGCAGAAGTGAGCAGCTTATGTTAAATGAAGAGGAACTTTAACTTGCAAGATAATGACAAAAACATTAACGGCAATAATGGATGGTTGTGCAGGCTAAATACATGGACAAAATAAGGCGCATTCAGGACATAACAGTGCGTATAGAGACATTCAAGACACCACAGTGCTTATAGCGCTGTGGTGTCTTGAATGTACCTTCTTTTGTCCATGTCTTTAGCCTGCACTCAATCATCATGCTACAATACCAACAAGCCCAAATCACCACTCCCGTGAAGGGTGATGATCAAAGCAATAAATTTGTGACACTGGTAACCTAATAGCAGCTATTTACAACAATGTGTTAAGGAGGCAACCTTTTATATGGTCAATGAAAAATTTCAACTGGAATCGCTATCTAAGTTTATTGCGCAAAACTCGTGCTTTCTCAGCTATAGCACTGCCAACCTCCGGACAGTGCCAATATATTAGTCAGTATAGCTGAACAAAATTTACCTGTTGACAAAAGAGCTCCGGAATACTGAGTCCAGTAGGCTTCCGGTCCAACCTTGTTTTTTATAGCTAATGTCACTTTTGTTGCATTTTTGTACGTAGGACAAAATACCTTGTTGCCTTGAACCCAACATGATGGCACTGCAGCAACGTCTCCACTTTCTTTGAAGTGAATGACTGAATACATCTGAAAACATTAAGTAACATTATAAGGTCAGTAAACCGACATGAACTTGCCCTAAAATAACAATCACTCCAGAAGCATAATGAGATTAGGTTGCAGTCTTATAAGTAGCACCAAACCCCGTGTAACACTGCAAAAAATATTGGCCCCGTATCTGCATGTTACACTGCAAATGTCGCCGAAAGACTTGCATCTGAAGAGAGTGAACATAATGTTTATTTGATGTTCTGCGCAAGAAAATAGGTGAATGGTATTCTGGAGGCGCTGCGTTAGAGTGCCTCGAGAGTGCAGCGGAGGTGAATTAGTGCATCAAGTCACGTCACACGTGAGACATGAGCGCTATCTGGAAGTTATTTTGGAAAACGAAGTGCACGGTGTAGAACGCAAGGCGACGGGTAGGTGCCACCACCAAGTCGTCTTATCAAAACGTTGGAAACGCCTTTTCGTGCAAGCGTTGCATGGTCAGTGCAGTGTGATAAATGCTACGGTCCTTAGAATTCCTTATGTATGCCTTTTCTAGTAAAATACACACATAGAGAACATTGACGTGTTGTTATAGTGCTTCAGATATGCGCAATAAATGCCTTTTATTGACAATTGAACAAACGGGGGTTAAGGATATCATAGCTGAAACCAAGAAGAAGAAATGAACATGGGCCGGGCATGTAGCGCGCAGACAGGATAACCACTGGTCGTTAAGGGTAACTAACTGGATTCCAAGAGAAGGCAAGCGGGTTAGGGGGAGACAGAAGGTTAGGTGGGCAGATGAGATTAAGAAGTTTGCGGGTATAAATTGGCAGCAGCAAGCACAGAACCGGGTTAACTGGCGGAACATGGGAGAGGCCTTTGTCCCGCAGTGGACGTAGTCAGGCTGATGTTGATGATGATGATATTGACAATTGCACGTGTATGAACGCTGAATCTTGAGCAGTATTGGTGGGCGCTGCGGATGGGGTCGGCTGTTTGGAATATCGTCTAGTGCCTTTTAGGGCACTGTTAAGAGTGGACAAACAGACAATTGTAGAGACTGACAGACATATATGTGACTAGTAGACTGGTTGACCATGCACTTTTGTTTTTCTTTTTTCCTTCTTCTGAGAGTAGGGTATACCACTCGCATTGGATTTCATATGTGGCGTTTAACGTCCCAAAACCACCATATGACTATGAGAGACGCCGTAGTCGAGGGCGCCGGAAATTTCGACCACCTGGGGTTCTTTAACGTGCACCCAAATCTGAGCACACAGGCCTACAACATTTCCGCCTCCATCGGAAATGCAGCCGCCGCACCCGGGATTTGAACCCGCGACCTGCGGGTCAGCAGCCGAGTACCTTAGCCACTAGACCACCGCGGCGGGGCAATCTTTTCAGCTGAGCGGAAGGTCACGGGTTCTATCCCGGCCATGGCGGTCGCATTTCGCTGCAGTCGATATAGTAGAGGTCAGCGGACTGAGCGATGTCGGCTGATGCTAACGAACACCTGATTGTCGACATTTCCGGGGCCCAACACTGCGGCGTCCTTCACAATCGTATCGTGATTTTGGGACGCGAAACCCTAGATATTATTTATCAGATTGAACAACTGATCTGGCGATTTATGGACATGGCTATGCTCTAGACACAGCAGACGGGCCTTCTTCGAATTTGCAAGGACGGACACTTCACAACGTGCTCGCCTGGTCCGTGTTATTTGCGACTGACTGTACATTTGCTTAGCGAGTCGAGCGATTGATGATTGATTGAAATGTGGGGTTTAACGTCCCAAAACCATCGTATGATTATCAGAGACGCCGTAGTGGAGGGCTCCGGAAATTTCGACCACCTGAGCTTGTCGAAAGGACCCATCCACAAAAGAAACGGAAATTGCATTTACGCATTTAACGCTTTTCTTTTATTTATTGCTGTTGCCAAGCGCGCTGCGGCAGCCGGTAGGACACAGAAAAGCACTACCGTACCAGATAACGGTTGCGTGGGTTAGTTTACTCGCCCGTCGCGTTGCCAAGGGCTACGCGCTGCAAGGGAACCTCAAGTTACACGTGATAACGGTGAAAGGAGGTTGTGTTATCGGTCCTCTTTGCTATGACAGCAGGTACGTACGAGACTATGGAGCAGCAGCTGACCATATACAACCAGTCCTGTCCTGTGCGCCACTGAAGAAATCGCGTCTGAATCCCCCCCTCCCTTCCTTTCCACACCATGGCGGAGCTACAACGAGTACATCGTTTTTGCGACCATGCCGTCGAAGGCGTCAACTGGCGACCGACCCGCTTTGCCGACGAAGTGCCCAGTTCGCGTGTGTGCGCCCTCTGTCGCACGATTCCGAGAAGCACGGTGCAGCTGCCGTGCTCGCACGTTATGTGCCGATCGTGTTACGCAGCCATCTCCCAGGGATGCGGTGGGCGGTGTCCCTTGGATCAAGAGCAGTTCAGAGAAGCTCAGTGTGTCAACTACGATTTTCTTACCGAAAACGGGAACGCCTTGAAGGTGAGAGGCTTGTTCCTGTTATTCTTCGAGACTAACAGTTTAAGTTTCATTATTTGCCTAGTAAATCTTTACGGGCCTAGCACGGTAAGCATGCCAATTCGTTATCACCGTACTAGTCAAAAGACACAAACGTTTTACTGGTTAGCCAAAGAAACAAGAACAAAGAAATAAATAATCAGTGTGTAATGTGCACACTAAGAAGAAAAAAGGTTATATTACCACCTAGTCCTGACTAGCTGTGTTTATGATTATCTTTAAATAGACTCACTGACTCCCTGTTGAGTATGATTCTACTATGACAGTAAAATGACCTTGGAATGTTCCCGCGCCAATTTAAAGACAGTGATGTTGTACGTAACAAGTGAAGGCTCACAAGAAAAAAAAAAGAGTCAGATGACTTTTTTTCTTTCTGTCGTTTCGCGCAACATGAAGGCTGTGGGATGTTTTCTTTTCATAAGTTCTCCGTCTTTTGATGACAAATCTGAGCAAATAATTTTTCAGGTCACTTGCTCATAATTATAGCAATAAAATTATTAACGAAATTCATCCTGTTTTCTTTGTTTATCGATGAAGGTTTACTGCTGGAACGAAACTCGCGGATGCGAGTACGAGGGTGCCGTGGAAGATATGCTGAGACACTTCGAGAACAAATGCATCTTCCACGCGGTGGAATGTTCGCGATGCGGGGAAGCCGTCTGTCACAAGGAATTGGCGACGCACTACATGGCTGGATGCCGTTCTCTCGCGTTTCTTCAGCGCGAATAGAAAACTCGTCTTCGAAATCAAGAGCACTGACACTTCAAGACGTCAAGGATGCCCCGGAAGAAGTGAAGACGCTCTCGAGGAAACCGAACCAGGACCAGGCGATGCCTGTTATTCAAAGCCAGACGAACGAGCTCACGGAACTACTCAGCAGTCAGGAGTCCAGGTTGTCCGACATCACGAGCGAAGCTGGCGCAACTGAAAATGCGGAGACAGTTCAACGCACTGCCGCGTCTTCATCGACTGTGTCGCAGGAACCAACGACTCGGCGCAATCCAGAAGTGAAGCAAGCCTGTTGTTGGCTTCCTTCACGACGGAAATGACGAGCCAAAAGTGTGAAGTCTTCTCCAGCATTCCACCCGGTGTTCTGAAACGGATGCGGAGAACTTCGACGCAGGATTATCCCCAACACGCCATCGAATATTTTCGGCCTTCCAAGAGTACGTGCGACTTGAAGCTGACCAATCAGCTGTCGACGACAAGTACGTGGAGGGAAGTGCTCGGGAGTGTCAAGTATGTCGTAACTATCGACAGTTCAAAATCTACAGCATTGAATTGGGGCACGAGCTCTTGTACTATTACGGTGTTGCACACCATGGACTCCTACTTAACTATTAAAGTAAAAGACATTTCTCTTTCAGGCGATCGTACGCTCGTTGTGTATATTGACTTTTTCGGAATGCAGGTGGGCTCTCGGAGTAAAACGCCTTGCTTCAGCGTTTTTGCGTTCGACAGGACACGGAGGTTTCTGTGTGCGTTGGATCCCCGTGACTGGCCTTGCCGCTGCGAGGGCGCTCGGCACGAGAGGGTACATTATCACGGCCTTTTCCAAATTGAGCTCGACGACTTGAGGCATACTGGATGCCTGCATCAGGGACAGCTGGAGCTCGAAATTGACCTCACAAACGAGAAAAGACGATGGTGAAACTACACCGAGCTCTTGAAACTGGCTCTCAACAGTCTATTATTATTATTTTTTTTTTCCTTTTCTAGAACCTTAGCTCTATCACCTACCATAAAGTCAATATAAATGAATCACATATCGGCTGAGCAGTGACTGTATGATGCGGGTGATGTTCTCATCACTTCGCGAGCGCATGGAACATGAACTGCGGAAAGTTTGAAGTGTCCTAACTTTAATAAAGTAATTACTGGGAAATGTGTTGCTTCACGTTTATTTTTTGCTATATATAGGCAATAGTTTTCGTCATCGGTGCGTCAGTTCAAATAGTCATGGAATGTATTGCATATATATATAATATATATATCTATATATATATATATATATATATATTATATATATATATATATATATATATATGAGTGTTTGTGTGTGTGCTTAACACAATAATAATGAGATATAACAGACAACAGTGCCAAGGAAAGTATAATGATTGATTTGTGGGGTTTAACGTCCCAAAACCACGATATGATTATGAGAGACGCCGTAGTGGAGGGCTCCAGAAATTTCGACCACCTGGGGTTCTTTAACGTGCACCAAATCTGAGCACACGGACCTACAACACTTTCGCTTCCATCGGAAATGCAGCCGCCGCAGCCGGGATTCGATCCCGCGACCTGCGGGTCAGCAGCCGAGTGCCTTAGCCACTAGACCACCGCGGCGGGTACAAGGAAAGTATAGGGGAAGTTATTACACCGAATTGTAATGTAATGTGAAACAAAGAAAGTGGGTGAAAAGGTAACTTGCCGTGGGCAGGAACCGAACCTGCGACCTTAGAATAACGCGTTCGATGCTCTACCACTGAGCGGCTATCCCCTCACCCACTTTATTGGGTATATATGTGAATTTAAACGTGCGAGTTTCAGTCAGCGCCACCAGTAGCCATGACGGCGAGTGTGGCACATCTTTATGATCCCGTTTGGCGTCACGTAGCACGTGAGCTTATTGCTAGCTGGCAGCTGACCAATAGTCCTCGTTTACAACCTAAAGACACCAAGTCTGCCAGTACGAGACCCTCTTGAATGAATATACACTTCTTTCCTTATATATATATATATATATAATATATAGACGTTGCGCTTCGTGATAAATCCATTGCAACGTGGAAACGCTCCCACTTGCAGGGCGCAGAAGTTCACTTAGGCATTAACTCATACTGCAAGCACAGATCCCGCGCCCGAATGCGATTACCGGCGTATTGAATAGCCCATAGAGCACTACAAGTGTAAAGACGAGAGAGTCGATCTCTCCACTTCACTACTATTCCTGAAGCCGCAACGCCCTCCTCGCCACATTCCTTCATAACGCCCGTGGAAAACGCCAGAACAAAGCGTTCAATATTTCGCACTTTTCGGCTGCACGCGGCTTTATCCGATTGCGCAGTTGAAAACGCACGCAACGAAACGAAATCAGTTTATCGCCAAATGGTCACGTGAGTGAGAACAACTTTATTATGGTCCAGTGCGCTGAGGTTTCTACGCGTCACCCGGCTACTCCCACGGGGACCGGCAGGTCTAGCCTGACGGCCCTGTCGCGGGCACACTGGACGGCCAGGATTTGGTCCTGAAGTTCTGGGCTGCGCAGAAGCGCATCCCACTCGGGTTTGCTAAAAGTCGGTCCAAGCGACCGCACTCCCAGAGCACGTGTGCTAATGTAGCGGTCTGCCCGCAAGCGGCGCAGGCGGCATCGGGGAATTTGTGAGGATAAACTGCCGGTCACGTGAGAAGTCTGGACGGGAATGCGACTGCGGGGCAAAGCAGGGTAGAAAACAATTCACAACCGGTGTCCCTAGATATGAGCCAGTCGAGAAAATTTTTTTCCCTTCTCCTCTCGCACCTGAAAGGGGAGGAGGATCTTTCTGCTGATTAAATAAAGTATGTTCATCATCATTCTCATCACCCAACGTGACTGCGGGTGTCACGGGTTTTACCGAAGAAACGGGAAACGCCAGGCGAAAACAACGCGCTTTTTTTTCTGCATTTTAAGAGGCGGCTGGAGGGCCATCCAAGCAGTGTGGATAGCAAGTATAATAAATGAGGACTTGGGACAGTGGGTCCCTATGGGGGATCGTGGGTCCCCAAGGGGAATTGTGGGTCCCCAAGGGGGATTGTGGGTCCCCAGGGAGGATTGTGGGTCCCCAAACTGCGTCGTGCACGCTGCTGCCATGTTCAGAGGAGCAGCAGAGTTTAAGAAAATGGGTCAAACGCTGACCGCGTTGGGTCAGACCCTTGAATTTGACTAGACGGCTGCCAATTAAAAAATTGACAGCCGATCCACGAAGTCAATGCTGATGATGGATCGAAATTCTTCAGACGATTGTGACCCCCCCCCCCACCCCCCCCCCTCTCTCGCCTCCCAAAGTCGATGCAGGCAGCGTCCGCTAGTGAGTTTCTTCATTGAAAAAAAAAAAAAAACTACTGTTCGCGCTGCAACAACCATTCACTGGTTATGGGCCAAGCACGCTTCCACTGCGCCCCTCTGCTGCAACCATTCACTGGTCGTATATATATATATAATATATATATATATATATATATATATATATATAGGCACTTAATCTTGACCACTAAGGTGGTGGCGGTTACAAATTTCTCATGTGCGTTGTCGAACAATAAAAATTGGCACCGTGCGCATTAAATATGGCCGCCCACATTTTCCTACGGGAGCAAGTCGAGCAAATGCGTCACAGGGGAGCGGGGGAGGTGTATCGCGTGAATGTTGCGTAACTGAGTATGATTTCGGAAGGCTTAATTGTTGTTTCGTCTTTATTCTTTTATTGAATGAAAGAGAAGCATTGCATCTAACGTCAAGCGAAAGCCATGTAAACATGCCCTTGACTGAATTCCGAACGCGCGATTCATATACGGGGTGGCCAGTGAACGGTTGTGCAGCGCAAACACTCGGTTTTTTTTTTTAGCACTTGGTGTTTTTTTCTTAGCGAACTTTGGTGACTTTGGAGCGTATCTATCTATCTATACGTCTAGCTGTTTACGTTTGCGTGCTCTCGTTTGATTGATGATGTGGTGTTTAACGTCCCAAAACCACCATATAATTATGAGAGACGCCGTAGGGGAGGACTCCGGAAATTCGGCCACCTGGGGTTCTTTAACGTGCACCCAAATCTGAACACACGGGCCAACAACATTTCCGCCTCCATCGGAAATGCAGCCGCCGCCGCCGGAATTTGATCCCGCTACCTGCGCGTCAGCAGCCGAGTGTGTGCTCTCGTTCAAAACACGCGCTCCGCTGTTCGGGTTCCATTTGACGCCGATAGTGCCTACGGTATAAGCAACACCTGTGTTTCGGTTCGACGGGAAGCTACTAAAACGACGGTGTCAGCGGACATCGTGCAACCCTGAATATGGGAGACGCTAGCCATACCGTGCCGAGGCCCGCTCTGCGTCTGCGCCGTCTCGCGGGTGACCCAAAGCACCTGGAGGACTAGTAATGTAGTTTTTTTTTTAAATGCGAAGCATTTCTTAGCGAACTTCGGTGACCTTGAGCATATCTATCTATCTATCTATCTATCTATCTATCTATCTATCTCTATCTATCTATCTATCTATCTATCTATCTATCTATCTATCTAGCATCTATCTATCTATCTATCATCTACGACTTTTAGCTCTCCTGACCGTTTCGATAATGGTAGCAATGCCAAACTTAGTATGGCATAACATCGCTCCATGAAGAACATATTGGCTAGTCACAACATGAAAATCATGGCATGTATGTCATGAATGTCATGACTTACATGTCATGGTCCTGCTGCTCTGCGGTGGTTTCGTTCACATGGCATGTTGCAAATGATATGGTATGACATGATTGCATGGCGAACACAAGCGGCAGACCCTAACATGAAAATTATGACATGCGTGTCATGTAACAACATGACTACATGCCACGCTCATGATGCGCTCCTAGCCGTTTCGCTAGCATCACATATACTAAATTTGGTATTACGGTACGTGAATAGATAACGAAGGTATGTGACTGGTGCAAACATGATAAACATGAGATGCGTGTCATGTAACAACATGACTACATGCCACGCTCATGATGCCCTGGTGGTCGTTTTGCTAGCTTCACTTATACCAAATTCGGTATTACGGGACGTGAATGGATGACGAAGGTATGATACTGGTGCAAACATCATAAACATGAGATGCGTGTCATGTAAAAAGATGACTACGTGCTACGCTCATGATGCGCTCGCGGCCGTTTCGCTAGCTTCACATGCATCAAACTCAGTACTACGTGACGCGAACGGACGACATAGGTAAATTACACATACTAACGTGATAATCATGA